CCAAGGAAACGCTGCCGGGGAGCTGGCGAGGAGGGCATTTTGGCAGCTGCGAAATGCCACCCATGTGGATGGGAATTCCCTTCCTGCCCTGATAACCATGGCGTTACTTCAGAGATCGCTGGTTGGGCTGGAGCAGCCGCGTGTGCTAACGGGCAGGAGATGGTGGAGCCCCATCTTTCTCCCCTTTGCGCCCTTGCAGAGCCTTGGCTGCTGCCTGGTCCTCTGCCGGCAGCAAGAGCTGGGCGCTGGCAGGCGCTGGAGCTGGGAACAAGCACTGGGAACATCCCCAAACTGTTTGCAGGGTTTGGACCTGTGTCCGCCACTACCATTGCCAGCCAGAGCCCGCGAGCTGCCTTATACCCTTCTCTTAGAGATGCTCTCTCTACGTGACATGACCGGAGTTCACCAGACCACGAATCTGCAGTCTGCTGGCCGTGGCAGGGCAGTCCCACCCCGGCACAACAGCCGGAATCTTTGGCAAGACACGTCCGCTCCAGGCAGAGGGACGTACAGCTGAGCCCGCATCCCTCTGAGAACCAGAAATAAATGCGCAGTCACCGCTGCGCTCCGGAGAGGAGGAGAAGAAGCGTCTCTCAGCTGTCATCCTCTCCATGTGTGGTGGGAGGTGTTGGCAGTGAGAGCCGAGTTATTTATTTATTAAGATCCCACTTGTGTTGCTGCCTGAGGCTGCTGTCTCTGTGCTGGAGCTGTGCTGCCTGCGCGCTTGCAGGGCACAGGGAGACCCTGCAAGCCGTGGAGCCTGGGTATGTATATGAAAATACTGTGACTGTAGCAATGGTGGGGCTGGAGGAGGCACACATGACCCGTTGGCACTGAAAATGTCCCTGTCCCAAACACGGAGCAGAAGGCACGCTCTTGAGAGCCTCAGGCGAAGGTGGACATGCACCAGCTCCACACCCACCGAATCCAGCCCCCAGCCGCGTCGCTGCAGCACTCGTGTGCCGAGCTGCATGTGACCCCCGGCGTGCCGTGGCTGCAGGAGGCCCCGCAGGCTTTTCCAGAACACGGCTTTTAAGTCAGATCAGGCCAGCAGTGCGGTTTGCAGCCCAGCTGTGCGCAGCTGGATCGGCGCAGCTTGGGGTGGGGTGGGGGGGGAGGGAAGACGCAGGCGGGAGCGTGGCGAGGTGGGAGCCTCGCCAGCCGTCCTCGGCACAGGGAAACTGTGCCCGGGTGCATCAGCGTGTCCTCCAAGTGCCAGCACACGAGCCCTTTTGTGCCCCCTCTGCCCTCTTTCCCCGGCCCCGTGGGCAGCCGCAGCCAAGGGCAAGTGGGAGCCATGGCACGTGGCTCCCTGGGGACGCAACCTTCACTGGCTGCGGGCTCGTAAATCCCACGGGGCCAGCCCTTGACAGCAGCATCGGTGCTCCTCTGCAGAGTGATCAATCACCTTTTCCAACATGATTCCTTCTCCTTGGCGTTAATCAGTCCTAAAAAGGAGCCTGGACCGATCACTGCTCCAGAGCTTTCTGTAAATTCACCAGTTCATCGTCATCTCTTATTCCTGATGCCATGAACAAGCAGCGGGGAGAGCGGTGTGTGAACTGCAAGTTA